ATTTTATAAATTTTATAAATTACAAATGCTTTAAATTTAATGTTTAAAAATTGAAAATTAATTTCTTTTAAAGAAATAAAAATTAAAACCAGACCATTTTTTAAATGTACTCAACCATGATATCCATCTATTCCTTGAAGTAACTTAATTCTCATATTAGAATCTAGGGAAATCACTCAAGGAAAAGAACTTCTGGTGCAATTGAGGCCTTTACAAACCAAAAACCACAGTGTGAATGATAGGCATGGGTCTATCTTGAGCCCCAAACTAAAACAATCACTTAGAGACCTTCAAATTCAAGTAGTCTTTGCTGTGAGTCAACAAAGTGACTTCTAACAAGACAGTAAGAAGCACGATGAATGTGTGAACGTCCATTTGGGCACGAACTTGCTGATTCTCTAGGAATCACTGTGTCTTCTCCCCATGGTCCCTCACCTCTCCAGTTCAAGCTTTTATTGTCACATTGAAAGAGTAACAGGCTAGAGCCACGAAAAAGAAAAATTATTTCAGGAAAATGTTTGGTCTCTGCTAGGGTCTACAAAAGAATGCCATTTTCAGATGAATGCCTTTGAATGACATAGAGCCATTTCCTGCCACCAAGTGGGAGACCAGCACTCTGTTCTGCCTGAGACTCAACACTCCTCCCAATTATTTTTTTCTGGCAGTTTTTATCCTCTCCATCCTGCTTTTTTTTTCTTTTTTTTTGAGATAGTCTCAAGCTGTCACCCTGGGTAGAGTGCCTTGGCGATATCATAGCTCACAGCAACCTCCAACTCAGGCTCAAGCGAACCTCTTACCTCAGTTTGTCTGAGGCAACTTTTTAGTAGAGATGGGGCTCTCACTTTTGCTTAGGCTGGTCTCGAACTCAAGCTCTAAGCAATCTACCCACTTTGGCCTCCTAGAGTGCCAGGATTATAGGCGTGAGCCACTGTGCCCTGCCTCTATCCCACTCTTTTAAAGTTGATATCCCTCACAGATTGAAAAGGAAGGGTTTTAAAAGACACACAAAAAACCTCCCGAAGTGCCACCACTAAACGAACTCCAAAAGGGACATGATGAGGCCATAAGTGACAAACCCCAGGGAGGGACACAACTGATTTCGCTGAGACAGAAGCTCTGGAGGCCCATAGCTTCTCTGTGGTGGATTATGGAGCCTGTTTCTATTTGCTGAAGTGTGGGTTTGCTTGTTTGTTTCCATTTTAATTCTCTTTCTTAATAGGAAAAACATTCATGTGATGAAAAATTCAAAAGGTACAGAAAGGTAAACAGTGAAAAGCCTCTGCTTGCACTGGCTGATCAGTCCCATTCCCAGAGGTAACCATTAACCATTCTTATGAATCCTTACAGAAATACATTATATGTAAACAAATAGTCACTTATATACGTTCTCCCTGTGTATATATTCTGTCTGATCTCCCCTTTTTTGTTACACCAAGTGGTAAATCACTATATACCGATGACTTTTTTACTAAGATACCATATGTCATGGGTTTCATACCATTAGTACATATAGTCTCTTATTAATTTTGAAGCTGTTATCATATTCTATCACATGAATGTATCATAATATTTACAGAGTTCCTTCTTAAAACGAACATGTGTCTTATTTATAGCATGGTACTACTTTTACTATTATGTTCTTACCTAAAACTGTCTGAACAAATTTGATTGCTTCTTCAACTGGGTCTGAGTTGACAACTTTATCTAGAAGACCCAACTTGAGTGCTTCACCCGCCAAAATAAATCTTCCTGAAATAAAACAAAGAATGATGTGAAATTAAAGCAGAAGCATTATCAGGGAAGGTTGTCTGTCCTAGATAAAAACATCTATCATTAAATAAAATAAGGATCCCAGAGACTGTTGTAGTTGAAAGATCACTGGAGAGATAACCAGAAAACCTGTATTTTAGCTCCAGCTCTACTTTTTACTACTGTGTGACTGAAAAATTGTACCAGGATCCTGATTTCCTCATTGGGAAATAGGAATAATTACACTTACCTCAGTAATTCTAAGTATTGAGAATGATATATTCTCTAAATCGCCATAGAAGCACTTTATAAACTATGCATCTCTACTGAAATACTAGGTTATTTTTGATAATAACAGAGATAGTAGCATCAAAGTAGTACAGTCGTATCTACTGTATACTTAACACACACTGGGGCTGTGGTTGATTAAAAGAAAAGAAGATAGTGGTCAAACATAAATATAGTTGGATAAACAGGATTAAGTTGACATTATACGTATGCATAATCAAAATTACACAGGAAAAACGTGGTGCGGACGTTTGCCATTTTTTAGATTATTACCCAGCATCTCAATCCCTTCATTAGTTTGCAATGGGTATTGGGCGAGCTTTGGCATCCAGCCTCCTACTGCAGAAGCTGAAAAGGAAGCAGTGATGATGAGACAATGGCTCCTTCAGACCCGTGACAGCTGGTGTGTGGCCCACGAACCCAAGTTTGGTGAACTGAGTGCTTTGTGCAGGGTTTTTAGCATGGAGTTAGTGATAGGAAGCAGCATCGACAGTTTAAATCTCAGTCCACAGGTGGCAACATCTAGGGTCTGTTGGTGGTGGTGCTGGCAGCCTCCATTACAATAACATCAACTCTAGGTGGTGAGAAAGGTTTGATGAGGGTTTGCATCACTCCTAAATTCTGCCCTGGCAGTTCTTCACTTGTAAATGTGTGATTTGATCCGCATATTCTAAAGTAGGGGGTCGAGGGACATAAGCATCCCTTTACCAGGGGGTTAAAAGGAAGGAGACATTGCTTGCTTTCTTGCCATTCCCATCTTATCTTCTGAAAAGCAATCATAAAAGCTGTCCTGATGGCAAACAATTCCATAGTCTTCACTGGTCTTACAGATGGTGTTGGTGGATGCCATTTCTGAGACAACCTCTCCATTCCTGGTTCTTATTAGTGTCCCAGAGAACTAGAAATGGATTTTGTTGATCCAATAGACAGTTCAGTAATTTCTAGCAGGTATCCCTCTGGAACATCAATATTTGGGCAGTTTTCTGAAGTGCCTTTGGGAGCAGGTTTCCAAATCTTCTCCTAGAATAAGGGGGTTGGGGGTAGAGAGTAGGCCAATGGTTTCAGGGGTTAAGTATCCTGTATACAAAATCACTTGAGTGAGGGGTAAGTGAATCAGCCTACTCAGGTAGGGAGGACACCAAGTGGACATAACATGGAATATGGAAACCTGGGTACGACAATGATTCAAGGGCAACTAAGCTGGGGGAACATGAGAAACCCACAGGATGGACTTTAAATTTCTTCAACTATAGTGATTTCTTCTGGTGTGGATTCCAGAAAAACGGAAGAGAACCACTACTGTTTTACAGAGTCAATGACATTACAATACAATCATGTGACATTTCAGCCAACAACAGCTTTTATATACAATGATGGTCCCATAAGATTAAAATACCCTATTTTTGCTGTACCTTTTCTATGTTTATATATTGCTTAATACATACTTAGTACAGTTACATGCTGTATGGGTTTGTAGCCTAGAAGAACAGGTTACACCATATAGCCTAACTGTATAGTAGGCTGTAACAACTAGGTTTAAGTATAGTCTACAATGTCCACACAACAAAATTGCCTAATGAAATATCTCAGAATGCATCCCATCATTAAGTGATGCATGACTGTACCTTTGTTTCAAAGAACTATGGACCTAAAGACGTGGCTCTACCCGTCCAACCCAAATTCTCAGGCTATGATTGAAACTTTCTTTTCTTGTGCCGCCCTCAGTGTAGACAACCACTACTGTTCATTGGGCTCTAATAAGAGTCCCGTGTAGATCTGCTTTAAGGAGACTCCAAGCCAACAGAGCCTGAGAGTTTTCTCTAAGCTGGTGATCTCAATCTTTTCCCAGTTTTCTTGACAGATTCTTCTCTTTTCCAACCATTAAATTTTTTCCTCCATAGAACTCTTTTCAAATATCATTCTCAAGTCTCCCTAAAATTGTACCGACTACTCAAAAAGACAGGTGTATGATTCTAATGTTAGCTTTCTTCTAATGACCTTTTTTTTATGCAAATCAAAAACCTACCATTTCTTACCATTTTTAGCTCTTCTCTTCATGTTAAAAGGAGTAATATTTCTTCAGGTAGTGTTTTGGGAAAAGGCCAATCCTAGTTTACTTAATTTTTTGGTCAAAGAAGCCAGTTTTCCTGATTTCCCCTAATAATCTTGCTTTTCAGACTTAATACTGAAAATAGGTCACAAAAGTCCTCCATGTTCCCACATACACTTTAATTTTTGTAACCTTAGAATAGACACATTTCACACCATCATAACTTCCTCCTATAATTCTAGCTTTTTTATTTCCTGTCTTTTGCACAGTGAACTGTGTCATGTGCTTTGAATTGCTGTAGTATGTTGGATTGTAAGCATCCCCTTATGAATTCCACATTAGATACTTAAAATAGTTCATATTCTTTTAAAATGTACTTATCATGCTATTGTAAATTAAAAGGATTTCTAACTTTATTTTTCCAAGTTAGAACAGTTTTATTATGGATGTATTCTTGAGCATATTTATATATTTTTTAAACAATTCTTAAGTT